CCTGATTATTATCGTTATTAATCAGGAATTCATTATCAGAACTCGGTTTTTTTTTCTTAGCATAATATATGTAGATCACAGCTTTGTACTTAATCTTTTTTATTTAGTGCATATTATTTTATATATAAAATTGTTAATAAGAAAAACTAGAAAAAAGAGAATTCAATAATTTCTCTTTTTTATTTGTATAATTCTTTATGATTTTTATTTATTATAGATTATTGTTTATAATATAAATCCAAAACTAAGTTATTATCGTCGAAATGAAAAAGTTGACAATGTTGATCACTATTATAATTTTAAATGTCTTATGGAACATAGAATTAACTAGTCAAATACCAATGCAAAGTATGAATAATCAGGAATTGACCGAATTTTCTCCTATTGCAATTCATCATTATCGACGAAGGTCAAGTAAGTGGAACGATAAAGTGAAAAACAATCACATATAACAATGTTTCTATATCTGTTTTAGTTCCTACAATCATTACTGAGGAACATATAAGTGGTATATTGGAGAAGCTTGGTAAATATGTCTTTTTATCTTTTGAAGACTATCAATTCTCTTTTGATCTTTATCTCTAGGTTCATCAAAACAAGATGTGACAACAGAACAATCATCTACAATTGCTGCTACAACAGAAAACTTATCTACGATTACCTCTTCAACAGAACAATCATCAACAATTACTTCTACAACAGAAACATCATCTAGATTATTTACAAATGAAACATCTACATCAACAAATGAAACATCACTTGTCCCATTATTTCAAACAAAACGTTTACCTATTGATCCTGATGTTGTTGCACCTGATGGTTCACTTGTTCGTATTTTATTAACAACTGTTGGTGGTAGTATGGCACAATTTGATCTTCCATCTGGTATGACATCGAATGCTGTTGAACATCGAACTGTTTACGAAATATGGTATTTTCTATCTGGTGAAGGTGAATTTTGGCGAAGACAAAAAGGAAAAGAAGAAATTGTAACAGTCGACGCTAATGTATGCATAACAATACCAGTTGGTACTGAATTTCAATTTCGTACAATTGGACGAAAACCTCTCGTAGCAGTAGCAATTACAATGCCACCATGGCCTGGTAATAATGAAGCTATGCCAAGAAAAGGTATTTGGAATGCAAGTTTTGTTGGACTTCCGAATTCAACGATAAAATTGCTGAATTCAATCAATCTATGGATGATTATTCTCACTTTTTACATTGTAAAGAAACTTTAAACTTAATGAAATACATCTACTTTTTTTGTAATGCATTTTATCAAAGACAGTATTTTTTTGTAATATTTTATAAATAAAAGCATGCACTATCAATGTCTCATGTTTACTTTACTTGAGTCATAGTTTGCTTATTGAAATAGTAGAACAAAATATTCATCACATTCAATCGAATAACGAAGTTGATATTGAATTTTTTTTTTTTGCATATCTTGATCATCTGTCCGAAAAGAGTTCATGAAAAAAAGAAAAAGAACTGATGGAAAGAACAATGTTTGAAGAAGTTGATCTTGTGATGTTTTTTTTTTTTATGAAACAAGATCGAAAACTCAATTGGCACTTTTCATTTAATCGAGAAAAAAAAACAATCATTGAAAGAAATGTTTCATCGGACTTCAAAAATAAAGATTTCCTCTCGTAGTGAATTTCGATCTGACTCAAATGATAAATTCATATTTGAATTTTCGATGCAAACAATAGACGATGTCTCTTTTCAAATTAATTCGACACATATATATGTTATCGATTATAATTAGCAAATATGTTTACATACGTGAGCTTCAATCCACATACACACGTATGCAATAGTTTCAGGAAATTTTCCGTACAAATGTAAACTTTCAAGAAATTCTTGCATGTGTACGCATGTTATAGACTTTCACGATTGATTGGATACTTTGTGAGAAGATGTATTCGATTTCATCGATAAGTTATACATTTGACTATGGAGAAAACCTACTCTGATCGAGATAGCCAACGAATTTGAACTTATTGCTATTTCTCGCAAAAGTTTGCATGAAAATATATTATCTTAGTTGTTTCGGAGAGAAATATTTTTGAAACTATTATAAAATGAGTCATATTATATGTGCCTAAAATGACTGTTAAATAAATAAATGCAAAGATACTAGAGTATAGATTGTATGTCCGGAATTAGAACGTACTTTTCATTCTGTTGTATTTCTATGCTGAGATATCAGCGAAACAACGTTCAATCCAGCTCAAAATAGATGTCTAAGAGCATATATGTTTTGTCTATCAAGAGTTGCAAGAAATGTTCAAAAAGATTGAAAAATGATTCAGTTATGAGCAATAGTTTGCAATTAATTGACAACATTCTAAATAAGAATGCTTGTGGAAAGATTGTCCGAATGAGAAAGTCCTAACAAAAATACATAAGAAAACAAGAGAAATACAAAATTAACCTGAGAACTTCGAGAGCGAAGCAAATATTTGTTCCTCATACTATCGTCTATCTATCTGGAAAGATTCACCGCAGTTTATTATTCCGTGACAGATCTCGAAGGGTGTAGGTGTGAATAGAGTTCAAATGAATATCAATATCCACATCCCTTTCATACTGCCAGTGCCTTTTCATGTTGCAGATGGATACCCAAGCGAAAAATCATTGTATCTCAAAAATTCACGATGGCTTCTAATGTTAGCATCATCGATCTATCAAAAAGTGTTAATAGTCAAGTTCAAACTGGCAAGAAGCAGTTTAATCTATTATCATATTTTTTATTACAAATTCTTCATATTCTAGTTTATTGTCACAGGTTAATTTCACAAAATCAAAATAAATCATATTAAAAAATAAAACACGAATAATACAATTAAGATATAGTCTATAATGAATATAAAATGAAAAAAAAAATACATATCGAAAAGAATGAAGAAATAAAAATCATTCATTCATAAATGACGATTTGATATTTTTCGATACACATGTCGTTTAGTAGAATTCATTTTTGATTGATGATTGCCATAAACCCTGCGTAGATACTGTTTTATAAATAAATTACGTTTTTTTTTTGTGTTCAAGTTTATCATCTAAACAAAACAAAAAAATCTAAATACTTACCATTCGCCAAAGAACAAGACTCATTGAAAGTAAACTTATAATAGCTGATATAACAATTAAATAAGTAGAAAATCCATATCGAATATATATTGTTGGTAATTGTAATTCTGAACTTATCGAATATGTCCAATGAGATGTAAAAAGAAATAGACCACCTAATCCAGTAAAAATAGCTGAACAATAAAATAACCAAATTGCTTCACGATTATTACAATTTTCTTCATCAGCAAAACCTATTTAAATAATTTATATAAAAATAAATATATAAAACATATTTTACCAGTACAAACTATTCCTATGACAAGACATATTATACCAATAATAGCAAGACCTATAGAAAATAATTCTTTTTTTTTTTTTTTTTAATAACATATACACAATGAATTTCTTACCAATAGAAGGTCGAGCAATTATTTGTTTACAATGACCGGATCCAAATGATTTATGATTCGGTTGACGAAGATATGTACAAATATCTATTAATCCTGATTTAATCTTTAATATATAACCAGTAGCATTTTCATAATTAATTTTTATATTATCATAAGTTGTTAATGCTGTTAATAATGGTGATTGATAAATAGCTTGAACAGCTTCATAATCTTTCAATATAACTTTTTCCCATGAGCTTTAATAAATAAAATATTTTAGAATCTTAATTAAAAAAAAAACACTCACCAAGTTGAAATAGCAATACTTGCTAATATTAGTGCAATAAGTTCTAGTATAATAAAATTATAACGCAACATTGATATCATAGAATTCATTACAATAGATAAACGTGCCCGCTACAGGGTTGAAAAATATATTACTGACTATTATGTCTATCGATAGAGAAAAAGAAAAAAAAAGAAGAAGCACATTTCTTGAGACATATCCAGGGATTCGTATCGAAATAATCATTCTTCATTTCTATACGAACAGCTTATGTTGTTTCAATCAAAAAGAATTTTCACTTATTATTCATTATCTTATTTTTTCATTTATGCTAGTGAATATTACTTGAACAATCAAGAAGGTTAATAAGACAGCTTCACAAAAAAAAATTGCATATGTTAAACGAATTATTTATATCGCGTGTTAAAAAAAACTATGAATTATGCTTTGATCATAGAAATATATAAGGTTGAGATCTTAGAAAACTACGTTAATATCATCGTAAATAGCTAATATACATTTCGTACATTGTTTTAATTCTGTATCATTCAAATATTCTTCTAGAACTATATCAAGATCATATGATTTTGATTTTTGTTATATAATCCAAAATATTGATCGTATTACAACAATATAAACCTAAGAACTGGCATTCCATCAACACTTTGTAAAAAAAGAGAAAAAAAGGCATACAGTTTTCGTCCGAAGAAAATTAAAACCCACCGGCACAATAGTAGTATAAATCCAATAAAACTCGTACGTTATCAATACAAGTTGAATATGATTTGAACAAGTTAAAAAAAAAACGAAACTTCCGCTTGTTGATTGAGATGTTTGTACAATTAGTTAGGTATGCATTAGAAAACGGAAAAACATTAGAAGAATAGTCTATTCTATTTGCGTAGTATCTGACTATAATATTACTCTGTCTCACTAAGTAGCCACACAGAAATAGAAATGATCAGAATTCATTAAATATCTTTTTTGCTTTTTATTCTTTTTTTCAGATGACTGTGCATGTAGGAAAGGTATTTTTTTGTTTTTTTCAATTTCCACCAATTCTTCCATGATTTTGATCATTTTTCACAAGTCAGTTTCATTTTTCCGTTTCCTAGCGTAAATTAATACATGCGTTGCAACGGTGTCTAGACAGCGGGTTTGTAAGAAATCGTTTGACACCGTGCTATCGAAAACGCTTGATTTTTCTCAGTGAAATATGGTCATATTTCTACGTTCTGTAGAGAAGAACTTATTTGTATTGGGTAGATTTTATGATACCCTACGTTTTGGTCATCGGGGTGTCCCTGTTTTTTGCTATCGCATTCCATTATATCTGATTTCATCCAAGCATCATCAAATCGTTGTCAATATTAACCTATGTCAAGCAAACACGCTTGTAATCGGAGAAATACGATCGTTCATGGACAAACAAAGCTCGTCTACGGTTTTCATTTTACTCTGTATTTCTTCGCATACGATTATATTTCTCCATGTACGAATTGGAGCGACATACGATCGTCCAAAATGTGATTGTACACAGAGAAACTCGGAAGGAGAAGGATTACTTCGCTTTGACTGTAAATCAATCGCATGAGATAATCTGGCAGCACACTACAGAGTCTGTAATGAACACAGTAATTTTGAAGGATCAAATATTGCCGAATACAACATGAGAACGTTTATCGGTGTCTAATAAGCAGAAGTCTTCAACTTATGATATCATACTGCCGGAAGCTATCTTGCCGAAGAAATCCTGTTGGATCTGAAAGAATTTTAGGATAGGCCTAGCCATTCTGGAGACTTCTTCTCACTTTGACGCATGCGTTACGCTATGAGTTAGTTATCCATCGTTAAATTTACATCATAAGCCTCTCTGGTGCCGAGAAAAATGGTCAAGAAAAGTAAGCTCAAGATTATCATTTTACATGTTAATCTTAACCAGAACAACTTGCCAGATCGTGAGAAAATGATAAATTCACATCGGAAATATAATTAAATGATTTTGCCTCCTCTAGAAAACTATAAAAATTGAGTCTCAATTAGGAATATAAAATATCGCTGGAATTGATCGCTAAAATTATATAATTTAGTCTCCGTAACTATACAACTCGATTAATCGACACATCAGTTTGTGTTATGTGATATTTTTGTATGATATAGTAACATTAATCAATATATTCAAGAATGTTTTCGCCAGCAGCCTACTTTGTCGTGAGAAAAGAGGAAAAGGAGGAAAAAGAAGTGGAGTGGAATCCCAGACCTAAGAAGAAAAAAAAAGATGATATAAACTTTCCCATAATATCATCTATTAATGAACACAGGAAAGTAAATAAACACTTCTAATTCAACGAACACACATAATGGTCCTTGTTCGAAAAGTAGAATAGGTGATGCAAGTCGTGCCACATCCATTGGAACACAAGTTCGATCAGCTGCCAGATGAATAAATGGACGATTATCAGACCTGCTTTATAATATGTGTCAACATCATTGACCCAAGGAGTTAAATATTCAACAGCTATCGCCGTCATCATAACAATAAGCATACACTTGACTATTTTATAACCATAGAACCTATGCAGAAGACATAATTAATTCAATTGTATACAAATTGATGAAATTATTTTAATTTAGAAAATGTTAGCATATCTCTGTACATAAATAGATATGATTTAATTAAGAAAATAGATGTTTTAGAGATACATACTTTGTTATTTTAAAATGAGACAATATTCTAATAAAAACATCTAATTTTAAAATAGAGAATTTCTAAATGTTATTTGGATAACCATACAATGTAATCCAAGTATGATAATTATACTAAAGCGAGTAGCTAATATTAAATAAATACCATCATTCCTTGTTAACTCTCATACGATATCAATTCATTGTGATCTCTTCTTATTAAGATTAACTCTTGAATCTTCGCCAATGTTACTATGATTGTCGGCGGCATTAAAATCATGTATCTAAATTCCTATCGTAACGTATTGATCGCATTGTTTTGAGGTGGGATGACGCGATAGACAACCTCACCTTATAACTTACTATTTTCCTTGAATTATAGAAAAATATTCTGTATATATTTGAGAAGTATCAAGAATATTAAATTTCTCCATAGTTCTAGCATTGCATTCTTTCAAAAGAACAAGTATTTTCTTTCAATGCTTGTTCTTTGAAATGTTTTGTATCCAGAAAAATGGAATGTAGTGTTGTTATTGTTCATTCCTATTTTAAACGAACTTTCTGTAATCAGATGATGATGAGCACATTTATTAGCTGTCAGAAAAGTATTCGAAAATGATAGCTAACAGATTAGAAGAATTTTGAATCCGGCGAATATGATTAATAGACTCTAAATCTTTCAAAAAACAAAATTAAAAAAATCGTATCGATTTCATTTCTTTTTTTTTCCAACGTAATAGGAAGCAGCACATTTTTAAAAAATCTATAAAAGATGACATTCTACCATAACTGCATTTCTCTTTGAAAGTCAATGTTTTCCACATACCTATCTAAAATTGCGTTCTTTGTATCTCATAACTTCGTATGCCCTTCAGAGACACTTATTTTAAACTTGTTATACAATGACAAAACCCGTTGATTGTGATTCCCAACTTCCTTCAATATCATCAAATGCAATAGGATACGCTGAACCAAGTACTTCCAGTTGTAGATTATAATTTGCTACCAAAAATTCAAATAATGCTTTAATTTCATGTTTTCCATGTTGTGAATAATTAAAGAGTTCATCGAAGATTAGTAATGTTCCTCTTACAAATCGACTTGTCAATAGGAAAAGTATATCACGTGCACCTTCATAAATATCACAGTCAATATGAACATATGAGATTGGTGTGTGTTTATGTTTCAAAAGTTCTTGTGGAAGTGAATCTATAAAAAGTCCTTTGACCAATGCTACATTTGATTCAATATGAAGTTGACTATGATTAACAGCAAATGCGCCCTTGGGAAATCCTGGCCGCCAATCAGTTGGCAAACCAGTAAATGTATCAAAACCATAGACGAGACCACTATTATTTCCACAATAGAGTGATCTCCATCGTGCAACATGATTCAAGGTATGACCACTAAATACTCCAAATTCCATCCAAAGACCATCACAATATGGAACAATCATATCTGGATATGGTGGAAAATGAAAAACTGTTGTTAGAAATCGTCCTGGCGGTTGATGTATGATTTTTCGTGACATTACCTTCTGTTTGACATAATTAATAAATTGACTTAAATTATCAAAAGAATTTCGTTCCAATAAATAAGAAGTATATTTACTATAATTAACACCGTATGCAGTTGAATTTTCATAAGTTTTTATGATCGGAAGAATCTTTAATGTTGTTGTATTGCTAATAGCAATATTACAAATAATTCTTTTTCTAGCATAACTACACATCCTAAGACTCTGGTTCATTAAATTGACACTGTCAAATCTTGGTAATATGAAAAGAATGGAGCCAAATAGAATAAGTGCCATGACAAAATAGAAAATGCCACGAGATGTTGACTGGAAAGAAAATGACTATATTGCAAAAATTTCTTTTCAAATTCTTTATGTATATTTGGGGTGGATGGGTCGGAGGCGCTGGTATGAGGTGAGGAGTATCGATAGGAATCGATGTGGGTATGGAGTGTGAATGTTGCTCTTCTCTCCTGCATACTATAGCCAAACGCACATAAGATATGATATAGAAATGAGTAATATTTTGCAGAGAATGAAAATAAAAATATCAGATATAGAAATAACTTACCTGATGTCGTATCGAGCATAAAATAATAAAATATTTAAGATTGACAAGAATCCGATCAAGGAATCCTGCAGATAATGTGAGAAAATTTGAAATAATATTGACCGACATGAATGAAAATTTTTAATATATTTATTCTGTTGAAATGTATGCTTATTTTAAAGTGTCTGTGTGTGCGGTTGGGGTTCTTTCGTTTTAATATGTTTCTTTTTGCTTTATACGGTAGATTACTCACGATGTTTGGAGAGAGAAATGAAAAGTAATAATACATTGTAAAAGTATCGTCGCAGTAACTACAATTGACTTTATGCTTCGTTCAATTTTGATGGCACAGAGTATAATATCAATATTTATTAATTTGAGAATTTTTTTTTTGTTCTTCTTAGACAAACTTCGACTGAGATTTTGAATATTTACTTATTGTTGCCAGTATAATTTATTATCATACAATCAATTTAAGGTCTTCTCCTTCGCCAAAAAAAGTCAATTTCCGTCAGAATGGTCGAAATTAAGATAAATGTAGAGAAAGATAGTTCGTGATCTACTCTTTCAGAAACAATAAGATTTTTTATTTAGCATCTCCTTTTGTGCCAAATTTTTTTGATGATTTCTGTCATCATCTCCTTGAAAAGTAAGCTATTTTCAGAAAAATCAAAAATGTGTTGGTTTTTTTTTCACAGCAATTGCCTGAAACATCGGTCGAGAATTTCGACTAGAATACCTTAGTCTAAAAATCCGAGACTTGCGCGTAGTTTTATAGATTTTCCACTAGCGATTTGGATGCATACCTGATACTGTAGTCACCTCACAGGATATGTTAGTTTTCGAAAAGGTTAATTAAAAACCTTGAAAAAACATCAAGTCGTAAAAACTTGTACTATACGATTCAATGTGTCTTCATCTATTTTTACCTACAATTATATTTCCATCTATTAATGGCAAAAAAGAAATAACATTATTTTTTTTATGTATTTATTTCGTCTTGTCTTTTGCTCTAGTCATTCATTTTTGCATCTATTTCAATATGGACGAAGCACATCAACAAACTATCAACAACTGTATGTCATATTCTTCCTTTTAGAATATCTGACTTATACATACTTAGAAACATGCAGTTGTTGTAATAATTAATTCTACATTCGAATAAAAGTTTAGACTTATAACTTATTATGTATCGATCACTATTTATATTCTTTGCTTCATGAATTATAATTTAATAAACTTTATTTTATTTTAATCCTGTTGGAAATGAAAATAAGGTTTGATAATTTATTCTATGATATTAATAATGAGAAGGAAAGAATAGTTTTTTTTATTTATCAATCTTTCATTCGTACGAGACACAAATAATTAACAGCAGGGAATAAAAGGTATTATTCATTCATGTCTCTTCTCTGAACACCTATTAAAAATTGTATATTTTGTTACAGCATACATTGAGTATATTTCTATTTGAGTTAATAATCTTCTTTTATTCATAGTTTTGTAAAAGTTGTAATTCAAAATCTCACTGTCGTTTTCGGAAATATTCAAAAGGCATACATTGGAAAAGTTTAATCGTAAAAAGATGGTATATTTCTCTATTAAACAAAATCCATTAAACTTTAATTATATTCTAAAATTTTCACAATAAAAATATATGTAGTACATTTTTTTTTCATTATTATAAATTATCCTCTCGATAATTTCATTAAAGATCAAAGACTGGTTTTTTTCAACTCAATTTAAATAAGTATAGACTCGTGTTTCGGTCTTCTCTACTCGAAAAAATCTTTTTTGATAAACTGGGCTGTATGTCAGTGCGAAAAAAGAAAAGACTCACCATATAATAAATATCATCGATAAATGATATGAACACTCTAAATAACAACAAGAATACCAATATATTCGATTTGCCATATGAAATATTGAATGCCATTTTCAAAAAAAAAAAAGGATATAGTCGATGTATTATATTCGTGATATCGATTTCACGCCAAAATCATTGTTTGATAATATTTCTGCAATAGAAAGTCAAGCTTTCGATCGAATTTATGAAAAAACCTTGCCTTAAATCAATGGTAAAGTCAATAGACTCACCATTGAAGCACATTCTATGAAACGTATCCTTCATAGTGTTGACTATTCTCAACTTCACTCGTCATCAATTGTCTATTTTGAACAAGGCATAATATTACAACAATTAACAGGTATAGTTTTAAATTACAATTCTTCATCGTCTTATCACTGAACAAATAGCATCTCTTGATGTTGATATTGACAATGAAATAGCATCACAAATATCTGTTAAAAATGAATCAAATATGTTTGTATTATTATTAATATTATCTATGTGTTAATGACTAAATAATTTAATCTTTAATTCATGATTTATTAGTCGAAACATTACAACTTCAATTTCTACTCTATCCATCGACACGTTGTACATATTCAACTTTAACTAAATTGAACATTTATTTCAATACTTTCGATAACTGTCTTTATCTTGATTTTTGAATATTTGTCTACATTGATTACCTAGCAATGTCAAACATCCAAAAAATGTCCACTTTACCTAAAGTCCACTAAGAATATATGAGACTTTGCATACCTAATAAAATATCATGTATATCAGTAGTTATTAAAAAAAACAAAATATAAATAATTTACCAGCGGACTTTTCTGTTCTGTAAAGGATTTTTCTTTTCATATGAACTGATTCATCCAGATAAATATAAGAGAAATTTGAATAAATTTAAAGCAAATGAGCAAATTGATTATATATATATATATATGAGAGATAAACTGATATTCCTTTTATCCTCTTACCAAAAATAATGATAATCCATTGAAAAGAGAAAAGTGACGCATGATGATAGTAAAGTCCTTCTATTCACTAGCGGACTTTAGGTAAAGCGGACAATTTTGGTATCTTTGACAGTCCTCAAGATAAAGTGTTATCCGTAGTTATGACAGTTTCGAGAAACCCTATAGTTTTTCTGTATTTGGATAAACTGAAACACCTTACTCATCCTATGAGTACTTACCGAACAATAGTTGGGTGTGGATATGTAGTATGAGTGTTATACTTCTTTTTATTGCCATCCACACACCCACTAGCATTCATATCTGCGCCACAGTCATATACACATTCGCGCCTCAGACCAACATTCACAATCACTTAAACCCCGATATTGACAGTTACACCTCACACCAAAATCGTGAAATATCCTAAGTGGTAGAACTTGATGAGCTATATCATTGGTAGAAATATCACAACGATTGGTTGTTGGCGCATAAAATGCGATTGAGTGACATTTTTGTAAAAAAGGCAAAAGAGACTTTTCAATGGTACTTCAGAAGTTCTTCTGAGATTTATGAAAACCTCTGGTTTTTTTTATATAGAAGGACAATAGCTCAATAGGCATAGTTAGAAAAACAAGAGGTCAAAAGTTTTACAAATTGAAAAGAGAAAGTCTGTGTCACTGAAGAAAGTCAGCTAAAAATCGTTTAAGAAATAAAAAAACATCATATAGAAAATTCTAATAGTATTTTGATCGTTTGTAAAGGAAAAGATAATGAGATCGACGTGAAAATTTTGAGGATTACTACACTCACTACTCTCTATAATATATAAAAAAAGTTAGCCAATTCTGAGATGTCACTTCATCGTCGATGTCTGAGTCTCTCAGACACTTACTCTTAAGCAGTGTCTTACGTCAAAATTACGGGCAGCGTCTGTACTATATCAACAAAAAATTTTACTCCTAAATGTTGAATTATGGTGTAACTGAGCAGTAGTCATTTCCTATTGGACAAGTTGCTTTTCGGACGATCTTTTAAATGAATGGAAAGAGGAGAAGACAAGCTAACCAAAATTTTCTAAAAACAAAATGTCTATGAGGTAATGTATCTATTTTACGACAGACAATGGACAATGTTCATATAAACTCTCTATTATTTTTCTTTCCAAACGTCACATCCGAAAGAACATCAGACGTTGCAATTTAAAGTTTCACGGAAGATGTTTTTTCGGTATTTGAGAGGTCACTTGTTAAAAGATTTGCTGCGTCTGATGCTCTTTCAAATGTGTTGTTTGGAAAGAAAAATGATAGAGAATTTACACATGAACATTGCTCGTTGTCTATCATAAAATAGACAGACATATGGGAATTCAGTTGAGTTTGAAATGTATGTTAATAGTATAAGTCACATGATAATTAATATTTGTTTACTATTGTATTCAACTTTTGTAATTTTAGCGATTTTAAATGACTCGTCGAGTTTCTATGATGTGTTTTAAAATATTTACATATAGAAAATTTTCATTTTTAACCATTCTTATTTAGTGACTATTAGAATTTTATTTATCTTCTTATAATTAATTGATTGATGTTCGTTGCTATAGAAATCTATCGAATAGATAATCAACAATCCATTTATTACTCAATCAATCGAAAAACAGATCGGTTGCTATATTCTAAATCATTCAATTACAAGTTTTTAACAACGAATTTGCTTACACTAAACATTTAACCAATCATTTGATCTCTACGTATTGCGAGCATCGAAAAAAAGCCTATTTTATAAAAATCAATAGCCCGAATACTCTCGATTTCATTTCAACCAATGATTCAATGTCCCGTAGTTCGAAAAAAATCTATTCTGT